ACCCACACACACATACACACACAAGAGGGGGAGGGGCAGAGAGAAGTAGAGACAGAATCCCAAGCAGGCTCTGCACTGTCAGCACAGAGCCCACCAACTGTGAGATCATGACTTGAGCCCAGATCAAGAGTCAGATGCTTAACTGTCTGAGCCACCCAGGCGCCCTGAATATCTTGCATCTTCTTACCACCAAATCCACATGACCTCCCTGTGCCTGGTTGCCCACCCTTCTTGTTTCTTTGTTCCTCTTAAAACCCAACCTATTTACCCGTGCTCTGGGGCCTGACCCCTCTCTCCTGTTCAGGGTTGCTCTTGGAGTCTCCAGCCCCCTCCCCCACATAGTCAACTCTTCTCTACTGAATCGTCCCCATGTGTCTGCTCTTAGCATCTCCTTTAACCCCTAAGTCTCCTTTCAGCTACTAATTAATTTCTCTACTTTCCTTCAACTTCACAAGAGGATTGCTTTCTCCATGTTTCCTCCATAAAGCACTCAAATTGGGCTTTCATCCCCACTGTCCACAGAGACTGCTATTGTCAAGGTCACTGACAACCTCCATGTTGCTAAATCCAGAGGCCGCTTCTTTGTTCTTACCTTCTTTGACCTTTCAGTAAAGGTGATCATTTCCTCCTTCTTGAAATATTTTCTCTCTTGGCTCTGTAATACCCTGATGCCCTGTTTTCCTTCTGTCTCCTTTTTTGGCTCCTCCTCCCCTCCCCTCTACTACTACTTTTGGTAACCCCATCCAGTCCCATGGCTTTGGAGACTATGTGATTATGATCCCTGAATCTCTACATCCAGCCCTGACTTTTTCCCAAAGCTTAAATTGGATAGCCAACTGCCTTCTTAACGTTTCCACTCAGATGTCTAATATGCAACTCGGACATAATTTATCCATGAAGAACTCAAGTTTTCCTCTTGAACTTGCTCCCAACTCAGTCTTCCTAGTTTTAGTCATTAGCACGAGCAGCTGTTCAACCTGTAAGTCTAGGATTCCGTCTGGATTCCTCTCTTTCGTCATCTTCCATATTCAATCTGTTAGCAAGTCTTGTCTACTTTGTCTACAAAGCATATTCTAAATTCATCCACTTCTCTCCATTTTCCTTACAATCAACCTGGCCCAACTCCACACTACCTGAATGACTGAAGTGCTCTCAATGGATCTCTCTGTAACCATCCTGCAGTCTAGTCTGGGAAGGGCAGCCTGAATGATCTTCTCACACTCTTGCTCAAAACCCTCCAACAACTTCCCATTGTCCTTTAAATAAAATCCAAATTCCTCAAGGTGGGATACAATATGGCTTCTGCCTACCTCTTCAAACTCACTTTTTAATCACATTCCTCCTCACTCTTTCTATTCCAACTAGACATGTCTTTCTGTCCCTGGAAAATACAAAGTCTGTTTCCTCCTTTGGACCTTTGCATTGACTCTTCTCCCTGGAATGGCCATGCCCGTGGTCCTGCCTCCCAGTTCAGTGTTCTTCCCCCTGGCCATGGCAAGTTGTAGCATCACTGGTTTTTATTTACCTTTTTTTTTTTTTTTTTTAAACTAAGCCCGAGGGCCAACTTGGGGCTTGAACTCATGACCCTTAGATCAAGAGTCTCATGCTGTCCTGACTGAGCCAGCCAGGGGTCCCCCAGCCTCACCAGTTTGATTGCTTTCTTGCTGTTCGCCAGATGTTTGGCACCAGCCAGCTATCCACTGGTTCCAGCTCCTACTGATAAAAGAAATGGCTATAAGAGAACAGGAAGGAGAGGCAAGAAGGCATCTGAATAAGCCATGAAGTACACAATCGTCCCCACAGATAATGAGGATGAAACATTCTGTTATTCATTCAACCATCCAATAACGTTGAGGAAACACTGATTATGTACCCGGCAGTGTGCAGCGTACCAGGGATAGAAACACAACCCTGTTCTGAAGGATCTGATGGTCTACAAGGAGACGGTAGGCCCGTGATGACGCCTGCCACAGTGTGACGCGCCCCAGACCAAGTGTCACGCGTGCTGGAAACAGGCAGGGAGAGGATGGCTGCGCAGATTCGGGAAGATGTCCCGGAGACTGGAAGCTGGGAGCTTGTCTCCAAGAGTGAATACATGTTATTGGAAACTCTTCATCTGGGTTTTCACACGAAAAATACAGTTGCATTTCCCCTTGATCTTAACCGACAAAAGAGAAACCGCTTTGGAAGGGCAGGCAGGATGACTCTGGAGGGGTGAGAGAACCATTGATAAATGGAGGCATTTTCCCCAGGGGGACACTTAAAAAAGAAAAGAAAAGAAAGGAAAAGAAAAGAAAAGAAGGGAAAGGAAAAGAGAAGAAAAGAAAAGAAAGGAAAGGAAAAGAGAAGAGAAGAAAAGAAAAGAGAAAAGAAAAGAAAAGAAAAGAAAAGAAAAGAAAAGAAAAGAAAAGAAAAAAGAAAAGAAGGGGTAGTTTTCTGTCTTCCTACACAAAGTCCACCCAAACAAACTCATCTTCCCTGAAAACCTTGCAGTGAGGCACCTGAGGCAATCACCTAGTGGATGAAAGGTAACCCAACCAAAGAACAACTTCCTTGTAAAACCCCAGGCGGTGTCCTTGAAGAAATGTGCTGTCCGGTAGAAGCAGGCTTTGGCAGCAGGGGAAAGAAAGAGATCTATGTGTATCAACAGGGAAAGTGCTATGTTATTACATAAAAACAGGCAAGTTTCAGGACCCTGGGATTATTACGTTGGGATCTGTGTAGGAACTCCCGGAAGAATAAGTGCAAACACAGCAATGGTTATCTCTAAGGTGTGGGGTTATGAGGCTCTTACCGTTTGAGTCCTGCGTTTTGGTATTATTTTAAAATGCTTACAACAGATGTATGTGCTATTCTGGAATTTAACAATAAAGATTCATTTAGAACATGGGTCTGATTTGTTTTATGATGCTTAAAAACTTGTGCCTAGCTCTACATTCCAGAAACATGCAAAGAGAGGATTGCCCGAAATTATATCATTTGCCGACATTTACAGGAAAAAATAAACTGAGACTCAGAAAGATACTGTGATGTTTCTGGCGCTTTGACTCTTAGACCAGTACGTTCAGCTCCACAGCTCTTGATTCAAGTGCAGAATAAATTATAAAATATACTGATCTCCAACTTAACACATTTTGGAAACTTTAGCACCATTGCTTGTGGAAAACTGTGTGACTATTTTAGGGTAAAGAAAGTAACTCTTTTTATGAGGTTACCAGAGACTAATTGTGTATTTCTTCAATGACAGGTACTTCCTGTTGATAAATGTGATGTGGGTAAAGAAGACACAGAAATTTACAGGCTAGTTGTTTCCCAGAAAAAAAAAAAACAATTCAAATTGAAGTCTCTTGAATATTACCTCTAGTTCCTTTTGCAGATCTTAGCATACTCAGTAAAGACTTTGAATGGGTATATCCCTTCCATTCAATGTATTGATTGATTACCTACAACGTGTTCTAGCATTGAGGGTACAGCAGTGAGTCAATGAGACAAATTCTCTGCACTTGAGGAACTTATCTGCAAGCAGGGAAAACACAATAAGCAAAACATACATAAAATGAAGGCTACAATTTCAGGTAAAAGTATAATAAAGTAAGTGGTAGTGACTCAAGCACTATTTTTGAAAAGTCAGGAAGGCCTTTAAAGGAAGTGATATTTGAGCAAGGGCACAGAGGAGGGAGAGGGAGAGAGCCTGCAGAGATCTTAGGGAAAGCCTTAGAGGATCCAGCAAGTCAGGCCCTGAACAGAAATCCGATTTCTCCTTTTCCTGAAAAGGTAAAGAACATCCCAAAGAACAAGCTCTCTCGAGGTTTGGTATGTTAAAGATTTACTTTTGTTATTGTTGTTGCTGTTGTTTTCATGTTTATTTCTTTTTGAGAGAGAGAAAGCGCTAGCGGGGGAGGAGCAGAGGGAGGGGGGAACAGAGGATCAGAAGCAGGCTCTGTGCTGACAGCAGAGAGCCCAATGTGGGGCTCGAACTCATGCGCCATGAGATCATGACTAAGCTGAAGTCAGATGCTCAGCCGACTGAGCCACCCAGGCGCCCCATTATTGTTATTGTTTTAATGTTTATAAGGCCTAGTGCTATAAACTTCTCTCTATTGCTTTGAAATTGGAGAATGCATTTCATTTGGGAATCTAAGTCAACTGCAAAGGTCCTATCTTCTCTACAGGCCCCTAAAAGCCTCCTGCCTTATCACAAAGGCACAGAATCCAAGTCCTCAGATTCAAAACTGCTTACTCCAGGGAGAAATGGGGCCCAGCCCAAAGCGTCTCCGTGGAATGAGCAACTTGGAATCCACTCCCATCCCAGGCAGGGAGAGGCTGCCTAGATGGTGCAGCTGGGAGGCTCAGGAATCACGAAAGGTCTGGAGAGAGCTGCTGCAGGACAGAGCTTTGGCATTCTCAGCTTTTAGCCCCAGCCCCTAAGGAACTGGTATCTCCCCTATATGCCCAGCTTAGGTGGGGACAGAAACGATTGCCTCTGCTTCACAGTGGGGAGACTGAGCCTCAGAGAAGTGGATGGCTTACCCAGGATCACACACAAAAAAGGCATCTCTAATGCTTAACCTTCACCCTGTTGCCCAACTCGCATTCCAGGCTAGGGACCACATGGGATGGAATTCATGCCCCATTTCAGGAAATGAGATTGTTGATTTTTCATTTACACAAAAATGAAAAATAAATACCAGATGCTTGAAAACATGTTGCAGCTCAACTTACTGGAAGTTTAAAGTGCATTCTGACTGAGAAAATTAAATTAGAACATCCACACAGCAAAAAAGATGTTTTGAATGAAATGCACTTTGTCCTTCCCTCTCTCTCTCACATACACACAGTATCTCATTGTTTCTTTTTCAGGGAGCAGCTGTGAAGGAAATTGGGGGAGGGAGATGGACAAAACATCCCATCTTTGTGTTTCATACAGAGCTAAGCTTTTAGGCCGGCCTTCCTGAACCCAAGGGGGTGTGGCATGCGGTAAAATTAAACGGCAGTGACCCAATGAAGCTTATAAAATAGCTTGGGAGAAGCCGGTTAACAAGACCACACATCTCAAATTGGAGGAGTTTGTGTTTGGAAACTGCCTTCATCTTTACAGAAAAGGTATGTACTGTGGTTTTCATTTTCACTTTTGATAAATAATGCTTAGAGACAGTCTTGGCTTTTAATTTCCCCTTTTCAGCTAAAAATGATAACAGACACAATTGAGGGTTTGTGCCAGATGCTTTGCAAAATTGGTCTCATTTTTCCTCAGACCACCTTATAAGATAGAACCTCATTAGTGCCATTTTTCAGACGAGGAAACTGAGGTTCAGATAACCTAAGCAACAGGCCAACAAATGGCCGAACTGGGGTGCCAACCCAATGTTGACCTACCTCAGTGTCTTCTGCTTGCACTATGCATTCTCCTCTATGCTATATAGACAATGAGGACATTTTCCATAACCAATACTGTACTTGATGAATTCTCAAGGAGTTATCATCAAACTCTGCATTACAGTAAAATTAACCAAAAAGTGAACTGTAATTCATTCTGTGAATGGAAAACACATTTAACAATATGGCAGAAAAATATTTTCATGAGAAGACATATTTTCTTGTTAGAGTCAATAGCTAAATGGGTTCTTTCGACCCCTTGGCTTGTGGAAATGCATTCTGTTTTATCGGGTGAAATCTAAAAATCTAGTCCTGAATGTTCTGCAGCTTTTTGAGATCAGGTGCTGTGTCCACGCTAGCACGAAGGCGAGCAGGTTCTTAAGAGACGTGGCATAAGTTCTGGCTTCACAGCTTATCAGGAGGTAACCCTGGGGAAATTAACATCATCGAGTACTCGAGAATATCATAGCAGGAGCCTTCCAGATAGGATGTTGTGGCGATCCGGTGTGTGGCACATGAGAAAACCTGAGGCCCAGGCTTCTCCATGGGAAGTTCAGTGAGTAGGAGTACCAGTTCACAGAGTCTGTGCTGGCCCAGGGCGGACGCACAATAACCTTGGTAGAATTATTATTAAGTAATTTCATATTCAGTTAAAATCATATGTAAGTTGTGTTTATTTTCAAGATATTTAAACTCCCCTCATTAAGACAGTCTTCCCATTAGTAGTAGAAGATGGTGCAAATATATAGGTCACGCCTACCCAAGTTCACAGGTACAAGTTAATGATGCGACTTACCGTTTTTTGTTTTTGTTTTTTTGATGCGACTTACTTTTGATGCTGGATAGGGTCGAGACCCTAGAGGGAGGGCCTCAGGCCCATTGCCAAGAGGGTTCTTAGCTTTAAAGCACAAGAAAGAATCTCAGAGCAAGCCGTTTAGAGAAAAGGACAAAGATTTAGAAGTATAGAAGAAAGGAGCTTCCTTACAAAGTAGTGGTCTCTCCTCACAGTTGAGGAAGAGGGATACCCCTTTGCCTCTAATCAATGGGTTTATAAACTTTTTTTAATTACCTAATCTATAGGGAGGGGCTCACTCTCTAATTTTGGGTCTATCAGTTTTATTGGGTGGTGAGTTTTCCCATTGTTTTGGGATTATGAAATTACCCACACGGAGCAATTTTAAGAATGTCTGACCTTTGTGGCTTTTACCTCCGGAGGGAATGGGATCTTGTGGTCTTCAGTGAGTTGGATCTTGTAACTCTTTTTATGACCTGCTGACTCTTAGGTTAAGGGTCAGTCCAAAACCCAAATGGCTTTACTTTGGTCAGCTTGTCTCCCGAGTCTGTTTTCTCTCCTGCCTCACTCCCGGTCAGAAGGTACTCGATAAGTGCTGAGTGAACCAGAATGGAAGGAACATGGAAGAGAAATTATGGATGCCATCAACCCTTTCTCGTACAAAAAGTTTTAACCGTAGGATTAAGACTACTGCAATAAAGAGACATCTTTGGAAGAGATATGTAAGCAAGGCTAAGAATTAGCCTCGCTCTGAAATCCTCCTACACAGCTTAAGCACATGTTTCAGCCCACAATAGAACATTTTGTAATAAGATACTTGTCAGAGTAAGACATGGAACTGACTTTTGGTGTTAGCTGTCCCGTGGTGAAATGACACTCATCAGGTTACAGAGGTAGGTGTTTATTGAAAGCCACCAAAGGTGGTGCACAGAAGGAAGCGTGGCTCAGGGTCACTGCAGGATACAGACGGTACCTGAGTCCCAGCCCTCTGCCCTTTCTGGCACCCAGTGTGTCGTCTGTGCTCCCCGGGGCTGGGGGTGGGGTGGGTAAAGGACCTCTCAAGTCCCGCCAGTTTGGGGAACCCTGTAGAATGTGTATACTGTGTGACGCAACATCTTCTGAGCAAGGCACTGAGCTTGAAGGCTACTGAGGCCCAAGAGTAGAGCTGCATGGTTCTAAGCATTTCTTGGAAATGGATGCAAATTGTAAGTTTAGGCAAATCCATCCATCATCTCCCAAAAGGTGAAAAGACAGGTGTTGTTTACGTGGTGGTAGGAGCTAATGGAGAATGGATTCTCAGAGAAGATGGGGTCCTACCACGGACTTGGCTTAGCTCAAAGGCGGCTCGGCCACCACCCCGCCCCCACCAGCCCCGGCTGGCAGCTTTGCTCCTTATGTAACTGTTCCTCTGAAAATGGGACAATGAAACCTCCAGAAGAAAAGCTATTGATTATTAAAGGTTATTTGGAGGTTTAACCGTAATAAAGTGGTTATAATTATTCCTGTTATGACACATCCTTTTAAATGCTCAGATCTGAGAACATTCTGCTTGCGTTGATTCAGCCCTTTGCACGGAGAAAGGCGAAGAGCTAGAAATAGCTCCTATGCAGCTACAGGCAAGGGGTCTCAAGGAGGAGATTAGACGGAAGGCAAGTCAGTGAAAGAAGCAGGGAAGGGTGCTTGGGCTGAAATGCCTGTTGGCAGCTACTAGTCCCTCTCTAGCTGAATGCATATCTCGGACCCTGTCAGTGCACCCTAAAAAAAAAGAATAGGGGCGCCTGGGTGGCTTAGTCAGTTAAGCGTCCGACTTTCACTTAGGTCATGATCTCGCGGTTCGTGGGTTCGAGCCCCGCGTCGGGCTCTGTGCTGACTGCCAGCTCAGAGCCTGGAGCCTGTTTCAGAGTCTGTCACTCCCTCTCTCTCTGACCCTCCGCTGCTCACGCTGTCTCTCTCTCTCTCTTTCTCTCTCCTAGAAATAAATAAAAATATTAAAAAAAAAAAGAAGAAAGAAATGAACATCTCTGAAAAATATCCCCAACAGAATGCCAAAAAGAAATTCAGGAAACAATTATTTGTTTCTGCTTTTTGTGCTAATAATAACTAGCATTTATTAAGCTTTTCTCTGTGCTGGACATCGCCCTAAATGCTCTCTCTATAATATCTCATTTAATTCTCTCCAAACTTCGTGAGGTTGGCATGATTCTTATCCCCACTTAATAGGCCAGAAACTAAAGCATAAAATGCACAGTTAGACTTAGTGGGTGGCAAAGCCAGCGTTCAAACACAGAGTCAGGGTGACCCTGGGGTCCCCAGCACGCTGCTGCCTGTTAAGGCTTCAGGGCTACTCCTGGGTTGGTGAAGAGCCCAGCAAGCTGGGGCAGGGGTGGGAGGTGTAGATCAGGGAGGCATTTCTCTTAGGAGTCTCGTAAGATACTAAATGTCGTGCATGGCTTGTGTTCATTTGTTCTCTCTTGCATGGTTCACTTGACAGCTTCGACCTCCCCCTTTGCTGATCCCCACCCCACATTGTTTCTGTTCATCAGCAAGTATGGACTGTGCCTGACACTGCCAGGTCCTGTGGGCTCCCGTCCTTGGAAAAATGCATAATTGAGGGGGAGCAGTTGCAAAATAAATCCAGCGAGCTCTAACACCAGGCAGAGCGAGCTCTAATGGAGGTAGAGATGCTTCCTGGTGGCGGAAGACCTCACAACAGGGTTGAAGATGATGACTTGGGTGACCCTGCAGGGTGACCGTTCACAAGGGCTCAGGGGAAGGTCCCCAGAGAGGTTCCCAGAAATGTCCCGCTGGTGACTGCGTGTCCTCAGGGGGCTCCGAACTACTCCAGCTGCTTTGTTTCTCCTGACTCCTGGTTCTGTCCACAGCCCCAGGATGGTGACGGCGCTGCTGCTGCTGCTTTCTGCGCTGGCCGGCCTCTTCAGTGCCGCAGAGGGACAAGCCTTCCACCTTGGGAAATGCCCGACTCCTCCCGTGCAGGAGAACTTTGATGTGCACAAGGTGTGGTAAAAGGCTAAACTCTTACATGTTTTGCCTCCCATCTGAATAAGCAGCCTCCAGGATTCAGTGTTAGTTTTCTGCTTTGATTGCCACAGCAAAGCCTTGGGGTAGGTGTTTATCTTACTGGGGCATCCCCTAAAGCAAGCTCTGAGACCGAGAACTGGGGAGCAGAGGGCTTGGGGAAGACGATCCCAGGAAGCACCGTGGGCATGTGGGGAAACTGAGACAGAGAAGGCAGAACAGCAATAAAAGATGCATCTGTGAACAGTAACACTATTAACAGAAGGGCTCAGCCCTGCTAGGAATCCTCTGAGGAAATGTGTAGAACGTTCCTCAGATGGTTCCACGGAGATAGTTTTCCAAAAGAGCTGCACGCACCGTTTTACATCCCATCGGCAGTGTATTTAATACCAATTTCTCCTTATCTTTGTTGACACTGCTATTGTCATCTTTTTTATTATAATCGTTTTTACAGGGTATGAAGTGGTATCTCATTGTGGTTTTGACTTGCATTTCCCTAATGGTTAATGAGGTTGAGCACCTTTTCATGTGTTTATTGTCCATTTTTATATCTTCTTTGGAGAAATGTCCAACTGAGTCTTTTGTCCATTTTTACACTGGGTTATCTTTTAATTTTTGAGCTCTGGAGTTCCTTATATGTTTTAGATACAAGTCTCTTATCAGATACATGATTTGCAAATATTTCCCCCCATTCTGTGGATTGCCGTTTCACTTTATTGATGTGTTCTTTGAAGCACAAAAGTTTTCAATATTTATGAGGTCCAATTTAACTATTTTTCTCCTTTCTTGTTTATACTTTTGGTATCTAAAAAAACCCTTGCCTAATGCAAGGTTATGAAGATTTATTTCTATACTTTCTTATAAAAGATTTATACTTTTAATCCTTAACATTTAAGTTTGTGATCCATTGTGAGTTAAACTTTGTATGTAGTGTGATATAGAAGTCCGACTTCATTATTTTGCCGGTGGCAATTCCGTTGCCCAGAACGATTTGTTGAGAAGAATATTCTTTCCCCATCGAATAGTCTTGACATCCTTGTTGAAAATCAATTGGACATTTATGTAAGAGCTTATTTTTAGACTCCCAATTCTATTTTATTATTCTATGTGTCTATCATTAGGCCAGTGCTATACAGTATTGATTACTATAGCTTTGTAGTAAGTTTTAAAATTAGAATATATGAGGCCTCCAACTTTATTCTTCTGGCTATTCTAAGTCCTTTGCATTTCCATGTGAATTTTAGGATTTGTTTGTCAATTTAGCAAAGAAGCCTAGTTGCTTTTTTTATTAATAGAGATTGCATTGAATCTAGATCTACCTGGAGAATATTGTCATCTTAACAACGTTAAGCCTTCCAATCCCTGAACATAGGTTATCTTTCTATTTAATTTCTTACTTATTTAGATCTTATTTAATTTATTTCAACAGTGTTTTATAGTTTTCAGAGTATAAGTTTTGTGTTTCTTTGGTTAAATACTTATTACTAAATATTTTATTCTTTTGATGGCAATTGTAAATGGAATTTTCATAATTTACAGAGTGTTCATTGTAAGTGTAGAAACCTATTTGATTTCTGTTTATTGATCCTTTAACCTCACTAGCTTCATTTATTAGTTCTAATAGTTTGTGTGTATGTGGATTCCTTAGGATATTTTTATACGTAAAATCGTGTTATCTGGAAATAGAGACAGTTTTACCTCTTCCTTTCCAGGATTCATTTTATTTATTTATTTATTTTTCTTTCATAGTTTATTGCCAAGTTGGTTTCCATATAACACGCAGTGCTCATCCCAACAAGTGCCCTCCTCCATGCCCATCACCCCCCTTCCCTTCTCCCCCACCCCCATCATCCAGGATTCATTTTAAACATTGCATTTTTCTTACATGGATTGAGAAACTGAGACCAAAACCATGAAAAGGTTTTCACAAAAATATTATGAAATTATAAGGGTGTATGACATAAAAAGCAATCTTCCATCTTTGAGTTTCCCCATTTCTGGAAAATCATGATTCTTCGGTTTTAATTCTAGAGCACTAAAGTCACCTTAACAATAATAGAACCATTTTAAATACTCTATATAAAATGGAGCTTTTTTTTTTTTGAGCATGCCTGTGAAAACAATTGACCTTTAACCATATTTGTTGGTGCTTTCAATGAATATTAATTTCAGTGGTGTTAATTGAAAGATGTGCCTTTAATAAATGAGTGGAAATTTTATGCCCTAAACGTGGGTATGTATTTGAGCAAAGAGCCATGTGACTGAAGCAGTACGGCCACCTGTTTGCAGTACTCATTTCAATTTCTGACTTTTTGAAGGTGAGTGCATCTCTGATTTTCTTTTGTTGAGTAATCCATTTTTAAATTTAAAAAATACTTTCGATTAATATTTTGACTAAGTAAATATAATCACATGGATCAAAATCCTAAAGGTGCCAAAGAACATACCGAAGCTTTTCTCCTACCCCTCTTCTCTTCCCACCTCAGTTTCCCTCCCCAGTAGCAACCAGTAAAAACATTTTATTGTGTGTCTTTTGGGAGCAAATGTATATGTGCACGAATACGTACATAACTGCAGTAGACAGAACGACGTCCTCACCCTACTCCCTGCAACCTGTGACAATGTCACCGTACGTGGAAAGGGGGGGAGGGAGTTGCTGATGTGATTAAAGTAATAGACATGGAGATGGCAAGTGTGGCCTGGGTTATCCAGGTGGGATCAACCTGATCGTTGAAAGCAGAGAATGTTCCCCAGCTGTAGTCAGAGAGGCATGACGATGGAACGAGAATCAGAGAGATGCAATCCGAGAAGGCTTTCACTTGCGTTTGCTGGCTCTGAAGACAGAGGAAGGCATTTACAACCCAAAAAATGCAGATGGGCTCAAGAACTCGGACAAGGCAAGAAGACAGAGTCCTCTAGGGCGTCTGGAAAGGAACACAGCCCTGCCAGTACCTTGATTTTAACCAAGCTCATTTGATGTAGAGAACTGTGGGACCCTAACTTTGGGTTGTTTTAAGCTTCTGGTAATTTGTTTCAGCAGCAATAGAAAATGAATATAATAACCTTTCCCCCCAGTTTCACATATATGCTATTTTTCATGCAGCTCTTTTTCCATTATGTGTATCTTGGAGATAATTGCATATGACTCCTTAAAAAATTTTTTTAATGTTTATTTATTTTTGAGACAGAGACAGAAAGAGAGAGAGAGTGTGAGTGGTGGAAGGGCAGAGAAAGAGGGAGACACAGAATATGAAGCAGGCTCCAGGCTCTGAGCTGTCAGCCCAGAGCCTGATGCAAGGCTGGAATCCATGAACCATGAGATCATAACCTGAGCCAAAGTCAGACACTCAACCAACTGAGCCACCCAGGTGCACCGCATATGACTCCTTTAAAAGAGATTGTATAACATTCCATTGTATGGATGTGCCATCATTTATTTACCTAGTTCCTTACTAATGCTCATTTAGACTCTAGTTTCCCGTATTTTGTTCTTACAATAGTACCACAACAAATAACCCCATATGTGCATCATTTCTTTTTCTTATTATCAGGAGGTTACATTTCCAGAAATGAAATTGCTATGCTAGATGTTGCCAAATTGCCCTCCATAAAGGTTGTAAATTGGAGCAATCTCCATGCAAGGGGATGCATGGAATGACGAGTACCTTTCTCTCCCTCCCCCACACCAATGTGCCCTTCTTTAGAGTTGACTCTGTACACGAAGTTATGAAATGAAACCAAGCCCCCCTCGTATCAGTCTTCTAAGTCCTGATCACTTGACAAAAGCTTTTGTATCCACCTCCCTGTGCGAGGTCTTATGAGGAGAATTCAACCAACTCTGGAGTCCCAGTTCCTCACAGTGAATATTCAAAGATGCCTCGTAGAATGACAAAATATTTGAGATGGCACCTTACATCATCTGGACTGCTCTCTCTCTTTTACAGAGTTTAGAATTTCACGTAGATTTTGGCCGGAGGAGCCACTGACAGCATATCTAAATAAAGAGCACTTTAGGAATAAAATGTGGCATTCAACCAATGCGTGCACATCCGATGCACTTACTTTCCTTTGAATCGATATCTTGCTCAGTTGCTGTCCGGAACAATGCAGCCCATTTTGCTTGGTTTCTCCAGGAAAGGGCTCTGGCCTAAAAGACAATGATAGGGAAGAGTCTGCAGGTCCCCAGAGAGCCATGGGGTTTTCTCTGCTTATTGTTATCTCTGCAGTATCTTGGACGATGGTATGAAATTGAGAAGATCCCAGTGAGCTTTGAGAAGGGAAGTTGCATCCAAGCCAACTACTCACTAATGGAAAACGGAAACATCAAAGTGATAAACCAGGAGTTGAGGTGAGTGGCTGTGGTTTCAAAAGCAACACAGTCCTGGGGCCAGCCTGCAGAGAGTTGTCCTGGGGTGACTGGCTGTCCTTGCAATCTAGTTCAGGGAGGGTGCAGAGGTTGCTGGGTCTGCCCTGCCTGCTCACAGCGGGTCCCAAGATGAAAGCTTTTGGCGAGCAGAATGGCGGGGACTAGAGCCACTCATTTATTTGCATGACCACTTGCCGAGCATCTTATTGTATTGTGGACTCCCTTGAGTATTGTGTATTTATTTTATGTGTATTTCCTATGAGAGGCACTAGGGACTCAATGGGAATCCATACTACAGGGTTCCTGCTCTCTTTGCAAAATAGATACACTGGTAACAAAGGACGGGGGTGAGGGGCGGGGGGTAGACCATCTCCTCTGATCTCCAAACCAAGAGAGAAGCCCTTTCTATATTATCTACTGACAGAAGGCACCCAGCTCTGCTTGACTCCGTCCGGAAGCTGGAAGCTCATCGCCTTCCGTGACGATTTATTCCATCCAGACAGCTTTAACTATTAGAAAACTCCTTTTCTTGTTCAGCAAGAATCAAATACACAGTCACATTCTAGGTTATGTGAACAGGCTAGCCTATAGAAGTATACTTTTCTGGTACTGAAATACAGATTTCTATTTGATACAAGAATCATACCTTAGAAAGCAAACATAAACTCTAAAAAAGCCTCAGAAGGAGCTCCTACCAGACTTCCATCAACAAAGATAAGAGCAACAATAAACAATAGCAACAAATATTAAGCATTTCCTAAATGCAAGGCGCTATTCCCATACCATGAAGTACATACTATTATCAACCCCACTTTTATAGATGAGGGAACCGAGGTACAGAGAGGGAAAATAATTTGCCCAAGGGCCGCACAGCTTATAAGCAACAAAGCTAAGATTCAAACCCAGGGAGAAGTGAAATGGGGAAGAGAACAAGACGAATGAAAGAAAGGCTGGAGGTGAAAGGCCATCCTGCTTGTTCCCTGCAGGAGCTGAGAACTGTGCTCAACTCCAAGAAAACAGTTGTAACCCAGCATGGAAGGTACTCAGGCTCAGAGAGGCTTTGCATGGCCATCTGGTTACCCACTGAGCTTTCTGTGAGCCAGGGCACGGGGGTGGACTCCCTCACCCTGCATGAACCATAGAAATAAAGTTAAGAATCTTGAGGGCCTCTAAAGAGAAAAACAGCTCATTTTGGAGCCAGGGAAGGATTGAGATGCAGACATCCATCTAAAGTCTCAATGAGTACGTTTCAAATATTTTGTCGCATTCTATGACCAAGAGTCAGACAACGACTTTGATCCCCAAACCGATGAGATTCTTCCACCTCTCCTTCGGAGCTGGCCAGGAGTCCTCTTTAACTGTGCCTTGAGTATTAGGTTGCTCTGGCTGTAGGGTCGTGTCTGTTTAAGATACAAGGGTACATGGGGAAAGGTTTGCTGGTTCAGGAGTGTGGGATGGCTTCTCCTTTCAGGAACACTACAGAATGGGCAGAGGCACAGCGTGGGGTCTGAGCAACGTACCTTTAGCCAGTGTCAGAGAATTTGAAGGCAAATGCAGCTGGCACGGGGCTGGGAGCTGAAGGGCTCAGGCTTTGGAGTAGGCTGCCCCGTTTCAAATCCTGGTTCTGCCAGTTACTAATGATGCGGTCTTAGGTTAGTTATGATAATACTCTAGGTCTCAGTTTCCTCTCAGTAAAGTGACATGAATCATAGAACCTCCCTCCATAGGGCTTTGTGAGCATCAAATGAAGGAACACATGTAAATCACTTAGAACAGGGTTTAATGTGTAGTAATTAATTAATACTACGTATTACTGTTAATCTGCTGTGATCCTTGAAAATACAAATGTATTTTTCCCATGAACAAATGGTGCATTTACGATCAGAGACTGGTGTTTCGAAAACTGTCCTGGACACGCCATAAATGACGATGAAGAGGGGGAAGGTCTGCTGAGAAGAGGCTGGGTTGTTGCTAAGCAACTGTATGCAGCTAGAAATGGGCCGTCTTCCTGTCCTCCCAGCTGAGTTCCCGGTGACAGAGGAAGGAATGGTACCCATCCCTACTTGAGGATAAACACACTATACATCCAGGAGCATCTGAGGACATTTTCCATCCTTCCTTACCTGTTGCTTATTATCTGGTTTCTAGGACACCTGTCACCACTAATCATAGCCCGCTGACTTTCTAACACACCACTGCTCTAACTTTTGTTGTGTGCCCCCTTGAGGACTGGTGACCGGGCTCCTCTGTCAGCTTCCTAGGACGTGCACTGTGATAAGTGAGCACCCTCCCCTCAGTGCCTAGGTCCCCAAGCGACCCCCTCTCCCCCAGGTCCACAGAGTCACTGGGAGTTACCCAGAAATGGAGCCAGCACCCTTCAAAAGAGTGAAACTACTTCATCCAATCAAAGACCATCATCTTTTTTTAAAATATTTTTTTATTTATTTCTAGGAGAGAGAGAGAGAGAGACAGCCTGGGCAGGGGAGGGGCAGAGAGAGAGGGAGACACAGACTCTGAAATAGGCTCCAGGCTCTGAGCTGGCAATCAGCACAGAGCCCGACGCGGGGCTCGAACCCACGAACCGCGAGATCATGACCCAAGGGAAAGTCGGACGCTTAACCGGCTAAGCCACCCAGGCGCCACAAAGACCATCATTTTTAAGATACACCACCATTTTACATACCACAAGAAAGAAATGACACTGCCCATCTCAAGGCGGCATATATTGTAAGGTGTGCATTTCTGCACATTTAATGTCTCTGAGAATTACGGGGATGAGGTAAATATTTCCTCACTGCCTGCTTTCGCCTGGCCTATGTCAAAATCTCCCATACTCAGTCAGAAGCTTGCAGGCCTGGATGGGAGTCTCAGAGTTCAGGCGTATGAATGGCTTTATGGACAGGTGATGTCATATGATGTCACCGAGGCCCAAGAGCAGGGAAAGTTTGCAGATCTCCAGACTTGGAGTAATCGTGTCAGTCCTTGTTTTTTCCTTTGGCTCATTCTCATTTGTAAAGAAGTAAATCTTTTTAGTGTATTGGGTTGTCTTGTTTGTTTTCTCTTCTCTTTCACTCCCTCCCTCTGCAGCCTGAGAGAAGGAAATGCCCTCGTAGGACTCAAGACAGAGCCCTGATGTGTTAGGGCCTAACATATCATCTAGTCCTGGAACATTTCACTCGCTGCTTCTTATCTCCCAGGGCCATCTTCCTCCACTAGGTCTTGGAGAAAGTGACAAAGGACAGAGCCTCCCTAACCAGAAATCACAGTCCTGGCCACCCAGATCCTTACTGTCACAAATCTTGCCTTTCATTGATTTTTGGCTTCCATTGAATTAAGGTTTTTTGTTTCGTTTTGTTTTGTTTTGTTTTGTTTTGTTTTAACTTGCTGCAGGCCGGATGGAACTGTGAATCAGATTGAAGGTGAAGCCACTCAGGCCAACATCACAGAGCCTGCCAAGCTGGGAGTTAAGTTTTTCTGGTGTAAGTATTCACTTCTCTCAGGAGGTTTCAGGAACAGGAGATAGGCAAACCAAAGGCTAGGGCCCTAAGTTGAAACACTCCTGTCACATCTGAGTGTCACCTATAGTGACTCAATGCAAAATACTTTTTTTAAAATGTTTTATTAGTTTTTGAGACAAAGAGAGACAGAGCATGAGCAGGGGAGGGGCAGAGAGAGGGAGACACAGAATCTGAAGCAGCTCCAGGGTCTGAGCTATTTAGCACAGGGGCTAAACTCGTCAACTGCAAGATCATGACCTGAGCCAAAGTCAGACGCTCAAATGACTGAGCTAACCAGGCGCCCCCTAATACTTTGTTGAGGACCTACTATGTGCCATGCTCAGGTCTAGGCATCCAAGATGCGATGATGAGCATGAAAGGGCTGGCCTTTGGCCCTGAGAGCCTTACATCCCATGTGGATACTGACAAGTATGCAGCAAGTTACTATAAAAAAAACTACCATGTTTCAATAAAGGCAGCACAAATTATATAGCACCTGGGGGTTAAGCAGTAGGAGACCCAACCTAGACTAGTTTCCCAGAGGGAATGGAGGCCTGAAAAATTAGTAGTCAGTATTAGTTAGTAGTTAGTAGTGGTGTTATCAGCAGAACAATTCACATGTGCAAAGGCTTAGAAGCAAAAGAAGACAAGAGTGAAGGGAAGTTTGAGCACTGGCTCTATCTGCCACTTTCTCGCCACACTCTGGGGTTCCCTGAGAGATACTTGATCACAAGCATTTGCCCTCTGGGCTAACTGGGGAATGGACACAGACAACAGAGAAAGCACCAAATACTAGTTTTACTGTGGATATAGATACATTGCAGAAGCCAGCTCAGAAATGTGAGACTTTCTTATGCCGAGAGTGCTTCAGGGTCCCTCTCCACACCCAGAGTCTGGACACTGAAGTCACAGCTTTGAGAGGAATCACTGTCCGCCCATGCACTCCCCCATCAAGCCCCTAGAGTAGGACAGTGAGGAAGTTCTTATTTTATAGGCCAAGATGGGAATGCTGGGAGATGAAAATACTTCTTTCTGCACATGTGACCATGGGCAACTAACTTCACTTCTGCGCCCATTACTGTAAGGATAAATAAGATAGCACATGCTTTGTAAGCTCTAAGGGGCTTTGTACCTGTCGGCTTCTCTTGTTATTTGTACAAATAACAGTGTTAAAGTGCAGGAAAGCAGGTGGTACAGGCAAGATCACTGGACTGATAAGAGGCAGAGTTGGCACCAAAATGAAGGTCTCCCAAACTCGCCACTGAGGAAGGGGGATGGGAGTGAGGGCCATATATTATGTGCACAACCTTCATAAGGAGGGTCTGCACCCGGAGCTAAAGGCGACAGAGGCTGCTGGCAGGGGAAACTGAGGAGGAGGAGGAGGAGGAAGAGATTGATGTGGTCGAAGGGATCAGGTGTTTGCGTTGGGTCTTCCGGGGTGTGGGGGAGACTATGGGAAAGGCTTTCCCAGGGGGAGGAATACCTTGAGGAAGGGCCTGGAGAAAGAAGCCTAGAGGAAGGGCAGGTAAATGGAGCATGAGACAAGACTGGGCAGAGCCTCAAAAGCCATGGTAATGGGTTGAAGTGCCTTCCATAAGCAGTAGGAGACTGTCAGAGTTTTCTAATAGAGAGACATGGATGTTTTATTTGCTATGAGGAAATGTCTGGGTAAATGCGTGCTTGAGAGCTAGAGCCTGTGGGAGGAAGACAGCGTGTGGATGCGTGGCTCTGTGCAGGCAGGGGCGCGGTGCCTTGGCCAGAAGAGGTTGGAAGACCTATTTCCCCCAAACCACTCATGGTTGCAGACTTGTCAGGCTAGCTGGGAACACACAAAGCAGAGGAAACTCAAAGACAGCAGATCTGTGATGAACACAAACTCTAAATAGTGAGCCCCGCAAGCAGGCTAGAAAGAAAAGTCAAGAACAACACCCAGTGTGGCCCCTGTAGCCTTGTGCAGGCTTCTGTCCAGATGTCCAACTGTCCTTCTGTTTTCATATTTATAAACAAGTAGAAAGTCAAAGGTAGAAGGGACCTTGGCGGTTGGTCATCTGGACTAACCCTCTTGTGTTGTCCTCATAACCAGTTGGGTCCTCGACACCCAGCCAGTCTCTAATCTCTCATACCCTGCCTCTTTTGTCCAGCTTCTCATGGTCATTCACAAGTGCTGGGGTCTGGTTTGACATGGCAAAGAGAGGGGTTATTTTTGAGTGGAGGAAGTGGGATGCTTAAAACCCAAGAAAGCAAATTGTGTCGAATTTTTTTGTTCTTATGGGGTCAGTACACAAATTTCTCCCATTTGGGTCCATTTTCCACTTAACTTTAACAAGTTGGGCTCTGACATTTCCTTGGCTTGGACGTTGGCTGTGGAGGTCAAGTTCACAGAGGAAGTTTCTGGATTCAAATGGAGAAGGTAAATCCTCCCTCTCTTTTCATAAGGACCCTTTAATGCTGAGCTTTCAACACAATGCAGATCTCTGTCAATGAATCTTCATAGGCCCTTTGTGAGGAGGAATTTATAACCTGTTACCACCTGATCTACTATATTCCTAAGTGCAGAGGAACTTTCGAAGGTCACACGGAAAGAAAAATAAACACACCAACATTAGCCCTTACCTCCTCTCTCAGGCAGGTTCTAGAGGAAATTGGGAAGTACAGACTTGGAAAGCCTGGGGGGCCCTTACCTCACATTCTTAACTCTACTTAGCTAAGTGGTGCCTCCATATGTACTGGTTGTTAAGTGCAGCCTGTTAGTCTAGGAGGTCCAGCAAAACACCCCATTACCATGGCTTCCTACAGACTAATATGTTATCAGGGAAGAAGGATCCAGAATGACGGCTCTAAGCTATGGCTGCACATCAGACTCATGGGGGAGCCTTCAAGAGTACCAACCACCACCATATCAGTCTGGAGAAACATGGAGGGAGGTGGCCTAGTATTTTTCAAAGTTCCCGTAAGATTCCCACATAAAGCCAGAATTAAGAAGCACTACTGTTGGGACGCCTGGGTGGCCCAGTTGGTTAAGTGTCTGACTTTGACTTAGGTCATGATCTCACGGTTCATGGGTTTGAGCCCCCCATCGGGCTCTGTACTGACAGCTCAGAGCTTAGAGCCTGCTTCAGATTCTGTCTTCCTCTCTCTCTCTGCCCCTCCCCCGCTCATTCTCTCTCTCTCTCTCTCTCTCTCTCAAAAATAAATATTAAAAAAAAAATTTTTTTTAAGTTCTACGACTATAGAAGAACTAAGATCCTGGCTTCCAGGATCCTGGAGATGAAGGCTTCTCTTGTCTTGGTCCCTCTTAATACCGCTCTCCTCTGGTTCTCAGTGATGCCATCTGCTCCGTACTGGGTCCTGGCCACTGACTATGAGAACTACGCTCTTGTGTACTCCTGTACCACAATCGTCTGGCTTTTTCACATGGATCACGTTTGGATCTTGGGAAGAAACCCTTACCTCCCTCCAGAAACAGTGACCTACCTAAAAGATATCCTGACCTCTAATGACATCGACATCGAAAAAATGACTGTCACAGATCAGGTGAACTGCCCTGAGTCTCTGTAAGAGGCTCTAAAGGGAACCTGCATTCACTCCATGTTACTTCTTTTGCTTTGCTTTCCCCCCACCCGCCCTTCATAAAGACAAAGCAACCACGGCAGACAGTTGCAGACACCAGAAGGGAAATTTGACAGCAGGAGCCTGTGGAGAGAAAGTCAAGGAACGTTGGCCCAAACACTTAGCCATGTACCGTGTCACCTTGCCAGTCTAATAATAAACTTGTTGCTGACTTGCTGTGCTCACAGTAGATTCTGAATTGATTATTGTGGGTTTTTAGTTATACGCTTAGGTTTGGAGGTCCTTGAACAGTTCTGTTGAAAGAAACTAACCACTGTACAGTTTAAGCTTAAAGATAACAATCTTGTTTCTGGAAAGGGAAAGCTGACTGCAAAGGCGTATTGTGGGTGACCTGCATCCAGGTGCTCCATCCTACAGTAGGCACTCCTTTAGGGGGATTCATTTAGGTTTTCTGAGTCTCTGACAGGCAGTTTCTCTGATGTATTTACTTTCTCATCAGGAGGTCTTCAGAGTCAGTCTAAAGAATGGGACCATCTTGGGGCACCTGGGTGGCTTTGTCGGTTAAGCATCCGACTTCGGCTCAGGTCATGATCTCACAGTTCATGGGTTCGAGCCCTGCATCGGGCTCTGTGCTGACAGCTCAGAGCCTGGAGCCTGTTTTGGATTCTGTGTCTCCCTCTCTCTCTGACCCTCCCCTGCTCACGCTGTCTCTCTCTCTCTCAGAAATAAATAAGACATTTTAAAAATTAAAAAAAAAAAAAAGAATGGGACCATCTTGGGGTCTGTGCCGGGGAGAATCTATAAGGCAGAAGACTGGGGATTTATTTTTTTAAGAAAATAATGTGGGGTTTTTTTTGGTCTTTCGTTCAATGGATATTTACCGAGGCCCAACTGCATTCTGGGCATTGAAAAATCTAGAACCCGCGGAAGCTCACAGTCTAGCGAGGGAGACTGATGAGTAAAGATGCAAGTATAATCCAAGCTGAGGAATGCAAAGGTAGCAGCATGTGGAGGGAGCCGTGGAAGCTCCTAGAAAGTTTCCCCTCACTGCAAGACAAAGGTATGTTTTTAATGCTTTAAAGGTTGCAAAAATCCCAGCGATCTCAATATATACAATTTTCATTTTGCTAAATAAATATGACTTCAAATTGTAGCTTCCAGTTCGAAATGCCTAAAGCCTGAAAACTACCTGGCAAAAAGGCGGGAGGGGGCAGTAGTTACCAAAGACGATCCTGTCTCCCATGTCTGCCTCTCTTGTGCTTTGTGCTATATCATGCCGCCCCCCCCCCCCCACCAGAGGGCACTTGGCTCCTCTTCTCAAGTACAGTTATTCCCAAGGGTGTTAAGCTGCTTGTCTTTTAGCTCATGGTACAAACTAAGTTATGACTGTGTTCCTCTTAACAACAGAGGAACATTAAAGACCATGAAAGCGATTATAGTTTGTACCTTTTACAGCATCTTGCCCCAAAATGTGTATGTGAATGAATTACTGACTGTGTAGATGGATGGGCTTGAGTTTTCCAGTAAAGGAAAAGGAAAGCGTGAAGCAGGTATCAGGGGTGACTAAACTTGACAAAAACTTTTGGGAAGCCAGAAGGGAGCATGTGGGCACTAAGTAACCTGAGGAAACCTGGAGAAAAGGGAAAAAAAAAAAATCCAGAAGATAGAGGAAGAGAAGGGAAGTCAGATAATCAGTAAAATGGAGATAATAGTAGAGAATAAATTCCATTGTCGGCTCTAACAGTCATCAACATCTCACTGATTTCGCTTTGGCAGCTCTCACCTGCTGCCCCCCAGTATCTTTCCTAGGGTGATTGAAGCAAACCCCAGATACCACACCCTCTTATTTTGCCCATAACTACCTATGTATAAGTCTCTAGCAGGTACAGGTACTTTTTAAACCAAAAAAATACAAGGTTCTGTTTTATATCCTGAAGGTGCTCAGAGAAGTGATTTCTATGTAATTGAAAGATCATTTTATATAATCCAGACGAAAGGGAAGAAGCATGCACAAAAATGTTCATCATAGCTTTACTTGTAGCAGTCCCCAAACCAAAAGGAGCTCAACTAAGGCTAATACTAACAACAGAGGAAATGAGACTGTAGATGGCAGAACATCCACTTGACATAATGTTGTACATTCATTAAAGCTGTTTGTTATGGGGGCATCTGGGTGGCTCAGTCAGTTAAACATCCTACTTCAGCTCAAGTCATGATCTCACAGTTTGTGGGTTCAGGCCCCCCGTTGGGCTCTGTGCTGACAGCTCAGAGCCTGGAGCCTGCTTCAGATTCTGTGTCTCCCTCTGTCTCAGCCTCTCCCCGCCTCATGCTCTGTCTCTCAAAAAAATGAATAAATGTTAAAAAAAAAATTTTTTTTTAAGTTGGTTGTTATGAAGACTAGGAAGCCACATGGGAGCTGGTACCTCTCCACCAAGCTGTCCAGCTTGAGGGTAGGAGTCCCTTGCTGCCTGCAGATCTAGTGTCTGGAGTGCGTGCCTCCCTAGCCACCCCCGACTGAGTCAAGGTGTGTCCACCTGAGCTCATGACAGCCAGTTCACAGGCTGGGCAGAAACCTCTACCTCTTGTGGCCTCATAGGATGGAAAAGATAAATTAGGTCCATCATATCAGGATTTGACTTTCAGAAATCCGGAGACAGAATGATTAAAAACTCTGGAACCATAAGGTCATGTCGTTGGGGGCGGCCATTGTTGGTGATGCGTGGCTCCATTTGGGAGAGTGTGAACAGAAGTGCAGAGGTGGGCAGAGACCCCACCCCAGGCCCCTAGCAGAGCCGCTCCAGTAGCTGATGGCTTGCTGTTTCCTGGCTCCAAAGCCTGTGGTAAATCTTAGCTGATTTAGGTTCCAGTCCTTGGATTTCTGTGAGATTAGCCACACACACCTTTTTTTTTTTTTTTGAGGTAATTCAACTTGACTGAGTGAATATTCCTTGCGACCAAAATAGCACTAAGACAAAAGTGTTCACAGTATAATGTAGAGTGAAAAAAGAATGTAGCATTGGAACTATGCTGAACTTATAGTTACATGAAATGAAGGCATAAAATCAAGGACTAAAAGTGAACAGGGAAGATGAAAGCAATTACTGTGTGAGAGTGCTGGAATTCAAAGTGGTTTTCCTCTTTTTTTATTTTTGTTGTAGGTGTTTGTAGCGTGGGCCCTAAAGCTTCCTTCTAGTTCAGCCTGACCCTCTGGCAGGTCTAGCACCAAGCAAGAAATAGGCTTCTTGAAATAACCACCTCAGACTTTGAGGTCTTTCTGAGCTGTTCTCCCAACCCGCTATAATCCCAATACACTTGAGATGGTTTGTTGTGTGAATATAGAGTGTGTTATTAAAGCAATCTAATTGCTTTATTGACAAGGTCCTCTGTATACTTCAAGGAGACATGGAGAAGGATATCAAGTAATTTAGAAAGTCTATATTTGTTATGTACTTTTATAAGATTTCCCCCAAAGTGCAATCACTGTCACCATGATAACTATGAGAAACTATTAAAATTTTTGTTACGTATGGTCAACTTTTATGCTAAAATCAGTATTTTTACTAAATACCAAGTACGAAATTAAAATAGGTTCATTAAGAGCTATCAAACATTTTCCAGCAAAATGAGGTGATCTGAATGCGCTGACACGCTAAGAGGTTGCGTGGGAGAAGATGCCCTGGGATGGGATCTAGCACTATCCCCAGCCCCAGGGGGTTAGCGGCTCACTCCAGCAGACCTCCTCCTTGGCAGGCTTGTCTCCTCACCTGCCTGTCACTCCCAGAGAGCTGAACTAGGTGAGGGATCCCTAAGGACTCTTCGGGTCAAATATATAGTTCTGTAGTTCTGGACATGATTAATAAAGCACAATTTTTTGCTAAGAAGGAGAAAATACCGGGGCACCTGGGTGGCTCAGTCGGTTAAGCACCAGACTTCAGTTTAGGTCATGATCTCACAGTCAGTGAGTTCCAGCCCTGTGCTGGGCTCTATGCTGACAGCTCAGAGCCTGGAGCCTGATTCAGATTCTGCATCTCCCTCTCTCTCTGCCCCTCCCATACTTGAACTCTGTCTCTCTCTCTCTCAAAAATGAATAAACATTTAAAAAAAGAATAAAAAAAAGAGAGCGTACCTGTACCTTTATAGGGAATATAAGCCATAAACTTAAAAGACCACCTCTTTGCGTTGTTTTGTGTCTTCTTCTAATCCTTATCAGTGGACACACAGACATACACATACAGACTTTACTCTGCTTTTTAATCAATATACATGTCTTTTTTCATGCTATACATTATTTGGGTGTATACATTTATTAGAGATATACATATTTTATTACTCCTATAACATGTTACATTCTATAAATGCATTGGACGTATTGCATTTAACTCTCCTGAATTTTCCTGGACTGCCAATTATCCAAATATAAAATGCCAGCCTTCAGCCAACACTTCAGTACATTCAGTGCACCCAGAGATTCAGGAAAAGCAGCAGCTCACTAAATTATAAAGTGACTCTCTCAGTGAGCACAGTTCAAAGGGGACTTGAGAACAAGTGTTATCAGAGGCCAATCCTTGATACACATGGGCAATCATGCAGACCTTTATTCCAAATCTCGGAAGCCCTCCCCATGCCTCTGGACACCTGCAGAGCAGCAGGTGCTCATTTCTGCTCAGAAACTTTTGGCACTGCCTGACTCTGTTCTCTTGGCTGATACCTATGCCCTCCCAGTGGCCCTTCCCATCCAAGTAGTAACCAAGCCCGACCCTGCTTAGCTTCTGAGATCAGACGAGATCGGGCGTGTTCAGGGCCCATAGCCCTCCCAGCCCAGTTCCTTACCCCCCCCCCCCACCTTTGCTTCTCAGGCTCCCAGGCCACTGGTCTCAACCAAGGGCATGCCACAGTTACCCTAGAGAATAGATCAGTTTCTTGGGAAGACATCCCAGAATGGGGACAGAGTGGGCAGAAGAGGGCAAAGATGGCAGAAAGTCCCCCCACGTAATTCAGATTTGCTTTCCTGCCTCAAATGGGAACTGCTGCTTTGTCAAACAGAACTGACTACTTACCACTCCCTGTGTTTCTCAGGCCTACACCACTTCCCTTATTGAAATCTGCTGCTGTCAAAATCCAACCCACCAAGTACACGTCAGCAGTTTTGCGGAGCATATTGGTGATATCTAGCAAAACTGAGGATGATATAACCTCTGGTAACTATTCTCGAAACACTCCTACACATGA